GTTTTCCCTTGCTCTGCACTTCTAAATGAGTGTGCTTCCGTATGTAACTGTAGCAGGACTAAGACAAGAGACTAATTTGTTTCCCCATCTGTAGCTGGAGAAAGCAGAATTAGTCAGGGGAGGGGGGATGGATGGACGGACAGAGTTTCTTTCAATAATCCATTAAAATTATGACCATAGTATCTACTGAGGCCTTTAAAACATTTTTTAAAAATTGCTTCATTTAGACTTCAATTATTCAGATTTTTTGAAATGTGAAAGGCTCTCCTCAACTAACTAATGCATACAGCTCTCCTTCAACTCACTGAAGGGGGGCCTGAAGCAGGCACAAAACCCCCCCTTCCCTGCCTGCTCAACACTGTGCTCTGAGGCTTGAGCCCAACCTGTGTCAGAAAGCGTGTGCACAGCATCCTCTTGCAGAGGGCCCCAAAGTTTGTGACAAAGTTTGAGAGATCTTCAAGTCAAAGTAAATTCCTGTCAGTTTCCACTGCTATAACTGTAATGTTATAAAATTAAACAAAAACTGAGAGAATAAATAAGGAAAAAGTGATTGAAAATTAAAAACTCCTTCATTCCATGTTCATGATGTTTTTAATACTCATCTTGCTAAGATGCAGAACAAAGACTATTGAATTTCCATTCGTTAGCAGCCAACAAGATATGAATGAGTATTAACCGCAAACAAAAAAATGATTTATAACATCAAGTTGTGCACTAAAAAAAATAATTACAAATCACTTTTAAAAAAAGAATAACAGTGGAAGCAATAATGAATATAAAACATGATTAAGTAGGCTTAAAACATAACTTCAAGTATTCTATAGCATTTCCTCAGACATTTGTCTTGAATTTGTTTGTGCAATACCCATCTTTGCATAGTAAAGAAAAATTAGTTAAATTCCAGCCTTAAGTAATCTGTTTCTTTTAACATGCACCTATACGTCTGTTAATTTGCCTAGCAGACTTCTCTTTTAGGAGGGTCAGATCAATTCCGTGAGATCATGCAGCAAACTGGAATGAGCTATAGTTACCAGTTTTTCTGTTCATCTGGACAAGAAATAATGAAGCAAATGTACAGTGGGCAAAATGCAAACATTGCTGACCATGTCTTCTTTTGATGGCGCTGTGATGAACAAATTAAACGTGTATATACTTTCCAAAGCACAGCAAAGACATGATGTAGAAAATCAACACCTAGCTAAAACAGCCTTTATTGTCTAATACCACAGAAAGCACTTCAACCTGGACCCACTCTGTGCCGTGTTATCACTTTACATTCTGTACACACGGGGCAGAAAGCAAATGTGTTCTTCCACACAGAGGCAACAGCTGGTGAGTGGAGCATAAAGTAGGTCAAGAAATCATAATTCCTATGAAACTGCTGGTGTAAATTAAAAGTTACTCCAGCACTGAATATATGTACATAATATTTGGGGACCACTGTGGTCTGATTTAAAACATCACATCGCACATTTACAATGTTGTTTGTGAAATGCTCCTCAAAGGTTTATTACACAGGTAGCTTACATATATATTCAGTTGATTTTATTTCATTTTTGGTAACCATTGATATTTCAATTGCGGTTACACTTACTTTGGGAGCAGAACTCTTAAAGTTGGGGATTATGTTCCCAACAAAACTAAGTTTAGAGGCCGTTAATATATTTGCAAGTATTTTTGGTTTGCCATAGAATTATTGTTACTAACTTAATTCTGCTTGAAGTTAGGCAGGAATTTTTCAGAATATGATTTATATTATATGTCAATATTGACTACCTGTGTGCAGCACCTTTAATCCATAATGTAGTAAGTGTTTAATGTGATTATGTTAAAGCTGTTTAGAAACATTTAATAATAACTGTCAACCAAAACAATACATTGTAGTTCTCTTGTGAGACTGTTGGATCCAACGTCATACTAAGAAATATAACTGAAATGAGAAAGGTTTTCTTTATTTATTTTTAGTAAGTCACAAGAAATCTGCAGCATTGTTTCTGACTGTTAAAGCTTACTCAAGAGAGATTTTCACTGAACAAAGATGGAATATGTTGTAAAACTGGACTTCCATAGTTACTAATGTTCAACGTTTAAACAAAAAAAAATACAGAAGAATCTTTAATTCTGATTATCTTTTATAGCAATTAAATTTTCAGGCCACTTCACTTACATAATTTATTTCATGTAAGTTTTAAATCAGGATAAAAAGGGTGAGCCAGACCTTACAGGTCTGTGCTTTAAGGGAGTCCCAAACTAGCTCTCTTCATACCTTTCTCATGTCAGATATACCCAGGGTAGCCTGGTTACTACAGGAGCAGTACTGCTGCTCTGCAAAAATCTGTTTGTACACACGGTATACCTAAATAAAAAAATAATAATAATTACAACACAACCTCCCCCTACAATTATATGGGGTTTTTACACATTTTGTTACTAAGTATCAGTAGCAAAGTGTCAAAATGCTAATTTTGCATTATACCTGGAAAAGTGGAATGCATCAAGGAGATACAGGGAGTGAGTCAGAAGTGTCAGTCATCTTTGCAAGTTGGTTTTGGTGGGCAAAAGGGAAGAGAAGAATAACGTGCTCCAAGCTGTTCGTATTGTTAGTGTTTTAAGGCTTATTTAAGTTTTTATTTCACAGAATCTAGACAAAAACACACACAGCTATAGTTTAAGAAAAAAAAAAGCTTGGCACTTCTGTGATTAATTTGAGGGTGTCACTTTCTGACATGGTATTACAGAAGATCTGTCAAGAAACAGCCAAAATAAGAAGTAATCCAGACTTATAGTCAATACATAGATATGCATTTACACATTTTCATTGTTTTTGGTTTCGAGCATTCAAACATTAGACCACGTATGTTTGGTGTCACAACTCCCTGCATCTGCATGCTATTCTCTGCCTTTTTTGAGCAAGCCCAGAACACTTGCTGTACAACATGCTACAGAAAAAAGGGGGAGCAAAGAAAACAAAAACAAACCCAACATCAAAAATAGATTTACGTAAAGAATAGAACCTTTTTATACGGAAATCCTTTTTCTCTCTGTATATATATAATCTGTGAAAATGATACATCAAAATCTTATTTCCATATTTACACTTTTTCCTTCTCGGAAGAACTACATCCACCACTCAATAGCTTCCGTACCCAACAGGCTCCTGGCCCAGGAGACCAAACAAAGCGGACAGCGAGCTCATAGAGCAGGGAGCTCTGAAGTCCAGTGACAGAGCACACTGTATGGCCGCGAAGTTTGCCAGAGCCTGGTACCATCTTTCCAGTGGTTGGTATTTATCGGGCTGCAGATTCTGCTTGGGGTCAGCTTGTTATGTCAGTTGTTTGTGATGTGAGCCATGCAGGTTACCCTTTTGTAATTAGCTCCTCATGCCACTGGAGTTTGTTAAGAAAAAGGAAGTCATGCGAACTCAGGTGAAGTTAGAGTGCCAGCAGGCTGGGAAAAAAATCTTTCGCTATTTCATTATTTTGGAATAGTTCTCTTACTGTACTTGGGTCTGTGTGTCTCCTCCTTTGTTTGAGAAAAGGAAAAAAAAAAAAACCAAACTGATTGTGAAACTGCTTGTAATGCTTATCAGTTAATGTTAACAAGAGAAAGGTGACTGGAGGAATTATTTTGAACTTATCTCCAAAAAGGACAGTTTTTATCTTCTCACTTCCTAACATCCCAACATTGTGGTTGTAGCTGTTGTTTCTTATGTTCTTCCATATTGATTTAGTTCCTGCACAGCCACAGCAAAGATACCATACCCAAAATCCGGTAGTGCAAGAAGCAACTTTTTAAATTACATTTCTTCAGATAGGGCCTTGTTGACTTGGATCGAACCTTCGTTTTTTGACATTTCTTCCAGGTTGCATCAAAAGGAGTAGAAAAGAGGGGTAGGGAAAAAAAAAGCAAAACATTAGTTAGATATTACATGAACAAAGCCAACGCTAAGGTCATAGTAAAGTAAAAAGCTCACAATGTGTCAGCTTAACAAGTCACCTTTCCAAGAGGTAACAATTCAAGGAATTTGGTTGCAGGCTTCCTGTAGCACAGTATCAAGTATTAATTTCCTTGTGAAGTTTGAAGATCACACTGGCATATGGAATTCAATTTTTTTTCTGTAGCACTTCAATGCTCTAAATTTGTAGAAATGTTCAGACCATAGTAATGTTCGTCTACTAGGCCAAGAAAGCATGCATATACCTGAGTGGAATCAAGTCAATAGTAAATATGTAAGCACACAGAGACTTTAGTTCTCATAGCAGGTGCCCATCTTTGGTTATTCCAGAATTTAGTTTGCATGTTCTCATGCAAGGAAACGTGAGAATCTCTGTGAGCATTTACCACACTATTGACCACAACTGCTGAGAATCTCAGTAAGGTGCAAAATATAGCAGACATTGCACTCGAAGGAGACTGGACAGCTTTACACATTGAATGGTCAGAATTTAATGTTAATAGTGGATATCAGCCTGGTAGGTGATATCCAGTCTCCTACGATACTGATATCCTACGTCAAACAGCAAGACACCACAAAGCAACAACAAAAGTTAGGTGCAACCTCCCCAGTATCTGGCTTTATGTGGGGCATCAAGCAAGGGGCTCATGCATTTAGTTCTCACATTGGGCATATGCACCACTACCGCCACCAAACTGACATGCAAAAAATATGAAACAGGAATTCATTAATTCCCTAAAAGCTACGTATCATCCCCAGGATTTTCTAGCTTCTTCAGCCCGCTAGAAAGGCAATTTCAGCATCACTGCTGTCATATTAAATATACAATACACAAAATTTTCCTAGTGGATTAAGACACTAATGCATGCTTGCAAAGGCAACTTCTTTTTGAGAAGACTGTCAAAGACTAGTAGGCATCCTTTGTTTTGTATTTTCTTTGGGTACCAGTGCCTGTATTTTTGTAAGGTGCATGCTTTGTAAGAATTGTTGGCTTTTGAGATATCACAATATTCATTTTTATTTTTTTCAATCATTTCTCCTCTAGGAGTACTGTACTAACACTTCATTTGAATGAAATTGACTTTACTTCAGTACCTCAATCCATCCTCCTCTGTACTACAGTTAAATCTAAGGTAAGTTTTTGTTTTTATTTTTTTCAGGCCATCTTGTAGAAGCTGCATGGTAAGTAGTACGAATTCAGTAACTCGGTTAAACGTGACTTAAAATGTGTTTTGCATATGCTTATCCTGCCTGTTTCAATGTGAGAAGGGTATCTGCTTCTTTTTCCCCGTCCCCCCTTTAAACACTGTCTAGGATACCCAAATTCAAACACTAGTGATGACCAACTAATTAGTCAGTCCCTTAAAGCAAATAATCAATGCATGTAAAAAATCTGGAAGACATAATTTGTCCTCTTACTCTAGGGAAAGTATCATGTTCCGGTTAGTTTTAAGTGCACAAGTCATTAAAACCTGTACCAAATTACATTCTGTTATCTGAACTTATTTTAATTAAACCAAGTAAATTTTTTTTTAAATTCTTAGAGCAAGCTACAGAGGCCAGATCTGTATTTCATCCACCTGCAATACACATTTCAAGGAATAAGATACTAATCCAATTATTGTCTTTCTTCACTTTGGATATTCTGTTATGAGTGTTGTAAGAGGGGGAAGAAAAAAACAACACCTGATGAATCAAAAGAACACTGAAGACATTAGCCTGAAACAGCCTCTGAAACACTGAGCATCACTTACAGTGCCTATATGGCAGCATAGTACATGTGCAAAGCATTAAGAACTTGCCACAGATCTCTGCTGCAGTCTTAGTACTTCACAGAAGTAAGCAGTCAGGTGCTTCCCTGACCTGCCTTAAAATGGCTGATGATTCAGGATGATTTTAACGCTACAATGAAGGCAGCAGTGTTTCTTAAATCAGCAAATAGAACCAGTTGCTATCTTCCCTAAGAAAATAAGAACGAACAGAAATGGAACTAGGTGATTTTCAGATCCTGGATATTTGCAGCCCACACCATTTTATAGCTATGTATTATAGTAGCAAAAGTTCTCACACAGTATTAAGCTAAACTTCAAGTAAGCTTCGGCAAAATCCTTTTGACTCTGATTCAATCACATTATCTAACTAGACATATCTCCGGGGCCTGTTTCATACATGTTGTTTTCTTGGGCCCCTGTCCACACCCAGTCAGAACAACAGGCAACTGTAGAATTTGAAGAACAGAGGCTGTGAGTACTCTGCCCAGGACACAAGCAGAGCTGCTCTGCACTAGTGCATGCTGAAAGCTGTTTCAAACCCAGTACTGATACAGCCCAAGACACAAGTAAATGGATGTCTCCCTTAGAAAAATTAGTGGGGTATTTCAATGTATGACAGCAACTATCTGTGATACACAACTCCAACTGATTACTAAACTAAACTCCTTTTAAAATTCTTCCCTCTATCTGAAAATAAAACAAGTTTGCTGTCTTTAAACAGTGTATTCCGAGCAAACTGGGGCCATCTGTGGGGAAACCAAATAGCAGGGCAAGCAGAAGAGACCTGTAGGGAAGGCCACATAAGAGAATGATGCTGTTTCCTAGTTTGTTGTTTCATGTGGAAAATCTTTAAGCATATTAACTACTTTTTGCATTTAACATTTTAATGCCTAGTTAAATAATGATAGTCAGACTTCCAGTCTGTAATCTGACCAGAAAAAAATCTCTAACAAAAACAAAATCATAGATGATTCTGAACCAAAAAAACATACTACGCTGTAATACGATAAAGCATTATACTGCATACTGTGGTTATTGTTACAAAGGAAAAAATATTTCAGAGAAGAAAAAATGTTTTTAAAAAAGACTGGATATATGCAATAAATATCTTTCTGTAATCGTCTGCATTTCTTTTCCCCACTAATTAGGCATGTGGTTACACAGTCTATTACTTGCAAATCCTCTACTGAAGTATTTAAAGATTTGTCTAAAGCCAGTATTTTAATCATTTAAAATAGCCAATGCTTTCATAAGCATTCTTAATCTTAAAGCATGGTTCAAATGCTGGTCAAGAAATTAAATAAATGACCCTTTTGCTATTAAAAAAAAAATAAAATTGAAATTAACAAAATGAGAGGCTAATATAAGTAGCTTAGAATAAAATGCTGACCTGCTGTTTATTGTACTAGTTTGGAAAAAAAAAAGTGAGAAAATACATAATTTGATTCTGATACTGATGTTTATGTAGGTAGTGGCTGTATCTAGATCATGATACATGCTTTAAGGCAGTGCTGCATGAAACCTACTTCCTCACAAGGTCTCCAATAGCATTCTTAGCACCCTACCTTGCATAAGCTTTTGGGGTCTACATGCATCTGCATGGACCAGACAAAAATATGGCATCTCTAAGGGCTAAGCTAGTTTTTAATTCAACTGTTAATCCTCCATTTAAAAAACAGAAAACCCTGGAGCTCTTTAGCTACAAAACAATTGCTGGAACTACACAGAATTGTACTTACTATCAATTCTTCTCTATCAGCCACTTACACCTTGTGATATAACAAGAAGCAGTTTTTCCAAGCACATTTACATCACTTTTACTAGCATTGATTCTTAGCACTATTACTTTATTACTAAAAGCCGTCTTATTGTTAAAGTCAATAACAAAAGCATTTAATTGGCTTATATTACTGCAGTAGCTTTGCAAATGTACATGAATATATGCAATAAGCATATGCTCCTGATACTGACATCGCAGCCAATGCAGAAGGCCCACATAAAAAATACTCTCATCATAAAATTGCCCTGTGTCAGTCCTGTATAAAATGCCATATACTGAAATCTTGCACAGACTTGCTACATCAAAATCAATGTCATGTTTCATTAATGCCTTATTTCTGTATACTGCCTAGCAGAGTTCCAATAGAAATATATAGGACTTCCTTTAATGCAGTCTAAACCCCAGCAGCTTTAAAAGTACTATGCAAAGCTCAACCGAAATAAAATCTATTTCCTAACAAGGTTTCCACTCACAGCTCTGCTTGGAGTTGCCTTTAACTCCAAACAACCAGAAAGGTTCAGTAAGGCTCTACGCACCCAAAGATGGTCAGACTTTTTTTCCTTCCCTATTGCATCCACATGTCGACTTCATTAGAAAAATTAATCTAGAATTCATTCTTATAAATTGACTGTAAATTTTTACCTAATTTCTCTAAACTTGAATCAAGCCTACTTTTATGCTTCCCTTGCAATCCTCCCCCCCGGCCCAGTTCATGAACAAAATTTGCTTAGTTGCAGCTTACGTTTGATTTGGACTTGACACCACAGTACCGTATGTTCATATGAAAATCTGATAACCTGTGAAACAGAAATCACATCTCCCAGTTTGTAAAGCATTAGCTACCTTCTCTCATATTTGCATATCACTTGCTTAAAAAGGAAAAGTTAAAGTCCTTTATTATCCTCATCTGTTCCTCCAGATATATTTAAAGCAAAGTATCAGAGGGTCTGCATATGCAAGACCTCTTTCATATACAAGTTGAAAAGCCTCCAACCCCCAGAAGAAACATGCACTTCAAGCTGTGAGCTAGGCCAGGCCAGTGTTTTTGAGGTTCTGCTACAGAATGAATGCTTGCATTTGGTCTTTTGAGGATAGCAACTTCGAGACTTTTCCAATACAGATCCTCTATAGGTATAATGAGCTTTATATTTGGGTAAAAGATTGACAGCAGGATGCAAAGAAGAACAGGTGCTACAGTACTGATGAAAAAGAGCTTCGGTCCAGGCCAAAGGCTGGTAAAGCACAAGACAGATAAAAAAAAAGTTTAGAGTTTACCTAAAATTCAGAATCACCTAAAGCTTTTATGTTCTAATAGCTTGTCCTGTGTTTTAAACAAATAATACATTTGTAATGCAATAAGTAATTTAGGGATAAATACTCTGTCTAGAAAGTATATGACTTCTTGTTAAGCAGACATATGTCTGATGGCATAATACTAGCCCAAAAATACTTCTCAACAAGCTATAGTTTGGTTAATTCCCATGGGAAGTTGCAATAGTGGTGATTCTGAGATTATCACGTTAGAAGTGCATACATTGTTGTTCTCAATTTAAAAAAAAATAATATTTTTACACAAGCCTTGCAGAAAATTTGGCTGTATTTAGTTAAAAAGGTAACTGCAATAAAATGTAAAAATAAAAAACAATCAGTTCTTCATCTAACCTGAAAATTTTCTGCACTGCTTATATGACTTATTTAGGTAAAAGGATAACTCTATCCTACAGTTCTGCATTTTATAGGTTATGGTTGAAAAAAAATGTATCTGTTAATACTACAGAGTATATTTGATATGTACAAAAAGTTTGTAAAAAGCTTAAGGTACAGACTGGACCTTTAGACATGAAATCTTTAGATCCACAAAATGGGAAGAATCCAAATTCCTTAATTTGTTAACACCACATACAAATCCAAATCTGTCACTGCATGTTCTAAAATACATACCTCATTTGGAATCTCTCCTTTTGAACACAAATTTGATGTAGAAACACAATAAAAATGCATAAATACCAGAAACAATTATTTAACTATTTATAAATATGGAAAATATTTATCTGTCATAGTATGAGACACAATGGTAAAGGTATGGGACTATATTAAAGCTACGTTGTTTTGAGATGTCCTGTGGTAGCTTACAAATAGTGGAGACTGAACCAGGAGTATTTATCGTACAAGAAAGTGGATTTAATTTATTTAAATGAGAAACTGTAAAAACAAAAATATAAAGCAGCTCAAGGTAAGTCGATCAGCAGGTATTAAAAAGGCTTATAAAAATCATATATATACACCCAGGGCTAAAAATTGACTGATGTTTTTATACATTTTTGTATTTAATCTTTTCTTACTGAAGTAAATGAGGAGCACCGAACACCAGCGCTCTGAGTCCTGCTAGGGACACACAGAGTTCTGCAGCTTGTGCCAGTGCCATGGGAAGCGCATGGAGCGCCAATTCCACCTGTTCCAGGCCAGCTCTGGGTGCGAGGCATGAAGCCCTGAGCAAGTGTTTAGAGAAATACTAGAATGAACGCAGCACAGGCTGGGTCTTTCTGCAAACCCTGATACTGACAGGCAGTGCAACAGGAAC